CGACAAAATATTTCTATTTAATCAACGTTATAAATCAAAAAAAAACTGTTTGATATAAAAGTTGAGATGAAAATAATATTATGTTAGGGTGAAATAGTAGAATATTCACGAAAAAAACATATGTCTAAGAAAATAATTCAATAATTTATGTTTAAACCTAATTCATCAATTTTGTTGCTAATAGAAACGTAAGCAATGTCAATGTTGAGCCTAGATATAAGCGAGAGTCTTTGTTTTTTATCCTGACAGAATCGAGATTGAAACCATCGTGCTCGTATCTAGCTGAAACTCTTCACTGTTTGAACCCATGCAACCAAACAGAGAGCTCAGCCAATTTCAACCTTCAAATCCCCACTATCAAAAGCCTGGTTATGCCTTGAGACACTAATATTATTTCTAAATTATTATCATTATTATGAAGAGTTCTTGTGACTTCGTAGATGTCGCTTATGTACAGTAATTTAAAAACAAACGAGAAAAAAAAGAGAAATGTTTGGTAAATGTTAATGCACTAAAAGTTTAAAATGATTTTACACATATGACTATGAGTTTTTGATCTTTCAATTCACGTGAACTTTTTGAAAATCTATGAATTATGATATGGAATTTAAGTTCAATAAAACAATTTGAATGAATGAACGAATGTTCTATTTATTTGTTTATATAATTGTAATATTTATTATAGTTTTGCTTCATTGATCGAGTGGATTTATTTTACATGGATGAAAATATACTTCGTTCACGTCAAAAAGTAGCAAGTAAAAGTGATGAGAAAACTTCCGATCAAGAAAAAGAAAAGATGTTAAGAAAAAATCGAAAACAAGCTGCTGAAAATTATGATTTTGGTGATATACAATAAGTTCCATCTAATATTGAAAATATTATGGAGAAAAATTTTGTTACGTATATTTATTTGGGAATTATATTTTGGTAAGACAAATTTTTAATGATGATGATTATTTTAAGAGAATAATTATTTGTTCTTGTATAGGATAGATTTTTTGGACAAGTTTTTTTGGCATTGCTCCAATGGTTAGGTTTTTTCCCATGGTGAAATTAGTTATTCATCGTTATGAAGTATTAATACTTAGTTTAGCAAGTCCAATTATAGTTTGCCCTTCATTAGTGAATAATATTGCACAACGTTAGTTTTGTTTCTTTTGTTGAATCTTTCGAAATGAAATTGTTCTTTGTTTTTTTGTTTCCTATAGAGCACTGTTGGAAAATTAATTATTAGTTTATTATCATTTCAATTAGAAGATCCTCTATTACGATTATTAATACTTTCATGTGGTACTTGTGCTGTTATGATTCATCTTTGTACAAGTCTTAATTGATGATATTATTCATATAGGTAAGGATTTTTAATTGAATTTTAAACATTAGAGAATAATTTATTATTTTTTCATATTTAGATCAATTCTTGTTTGGACATTGACAAATTGTTTTTTTTTCTTTCTTAATCTTCGTATTTGTTTTTTAAGTTATATACCAGCATGATCGAGTGTGATGTCAACATTTAATACATTTTCTCATTGGACATTGGAACAATCATTGATCAATTTGGAAGAGGTAAAGCATTAGTAGTTTTATTAATCAACTTTTAGTTAAGATTTAATCTTCCACATGTAGAGATGTCTATGACAGTGCTGACATCACAGTGGCACGTTTTTTTAAAAACTACTGCGGCGCGTCACCGACAGATTTCCAATCTTGATGAATATCTTTGATACATAGAGTATTTCATAGATTCTAAACCTCGACGAAAATTTATTAATATAGAGACATGAAATGATTTCTAACTGAATAGATCTATATTGATTTAATAGGCATGTAAGTTCACAAAACATTGACTTTTACTTGATGCATTTTAGTTTTGTTGTAGACAATAGGTGAGGATAGAAAATCTTATATCCAAAGTTTTTTCTGAAGATACCTACATTTTTCAAAAACAATCGATTAACTTTTCATTAGCAATTTGTTTATGAAGAATTAATTATTAATTAATAAATTAAAATATTGATTTTGTTGTTGTTCCATAGACAATCCTATGTGTCAATTACTCCCATCAATATCATTTTATTTATCTTCAACAAAATCTACACTTGGTATGTTATCTAATTTCTTTTTTTCTTTTTCATTTCTGTTAATTGAATGAATGAAAGCTTTTTTTGTTTTATTACATCGTTTTGTTTTGTTCTATTTTTAGGAATCAATCCAT